TTTATCTCTCGGCGATTCGCGTCAAATGGCGGAAAAACGTTTCTACAGCTTGGAGCGTAGAATGCTCGCTTCACCCCAGTTAAAGGAAGCTTATGACGGCATCATTAACTAATATATAAGAGAAGGTTACATATCACTTGTGGCTTCGAAATTAGATAACTACGAAGACACACCGTCGTATTTCATACCACACCACGGGGTCATTAGGGAGGACAAACTTACATCTAAGTTACGTGTAGTGCTCGACGCTAGTGCTAAAACTAGCACTCACCAGTCGCTTAACGATATCCTCTATAGTGGGCAAAATTTACAGGGCAGTTTATTTAATATAATAGCCAATTTTCGTTTGTTTAGTATAGCACTATCCGCCGATATTCGCCAAATGTTTCTTTGCATAGGGGTCCGTGAATGCGACCGTAGATTCCAACGTATTTTATATCGTTTCAACCCAAAGGAACCTCTAATGGTGTTTGAATTTAACCGCGTTTGTTTTGGTTTAAAGTCGAGCCCATTTAATGCGTTACGCACGGTGAGACAGCTCGCCCACGATGAAGGTCCCTCTTATCCTAAAGCTAAGAGGGCAATTGAAAGTGGATTATATATGGATGATTTTGTGTACTCGGTCGATAACGTAGAGGAGGCCACCCTAACCACCGCCGAGGTTATAAGGCTCATGAAATCGGGTCAATTCGATCTTGTGAAGTGGACTAGCAATTCGCGTCCGGTTTTAGATACAATCCCACTATCACACCGTCTCTCGGCGATAAAGGAATTCGACGATTCTGATACACACAAGGTGCTCGGTCTGTGTTGGTCACCGGAGTCCTACGTGTTTAGCCTTAAGGTAAATCCGCCCGTAGAGAAATGCACAAAGCGCACAATGCTGTCATGCGTTGCTAGATTATGGGACGCCATGGGTTTCGTAGCTCCGGTGGTATTATACGCTAAGCTTTTGATTAAACAACTTTGGTTATTTGAATGCGATTGGGATGACTCGCCGCCTGACAGCATTGTTCGGTTGTGGCAGCATTTTAGAGAGGGGCTTCCTTTACTAAGAGAAATTAAAATACCGCGTCATATAAACGTCGATAGAAATAGCGTCATAACGGTCGTTGGGTTTGCAGACGCTAGCGAGAAGGCTTACGGGGGCGTTGTATATTTCCACGTTCAGAATAATGGTAGAAATTCGATTAGCCTCACTAGTTCTAAGTCGAGAGTCTCCCCCCGTAAGGTTGTCTCTCTGGCGCGCTTAGAGCTTTGCGCAATATTGGTACTCACCAAGCTTATTACCGCAGTTGTCAGCGCGTGTAGGGATAGAGTTCACATAGAAAGGATATTTGCCTTTTCCGACTCCACCGTCGCCTTATGCTGGTTCATTCTTCGCCCCACCGTTGGGATACGTTTGTCGCGAACAGAGTGGCCAAGATCCAAGACGAGTTAGAAACGCGGAGCTTTTGTCACGTGTCCGGTACGGAGAACCCTGCCGATTGTCTATCCCGTGGACTCACCCCGATGCAAATAATGGACCACCCGCTTTGGTTCCACGGACCTTCTTGGGTTCACTTGGATCCCTCGCAATGGCCAATAATCGATTTCGAACCTTCGTCAGTGTCACAACCGCCGGAAGAGAAGAGACACGCTCTAGTGGCGAACGTTTCGAGCGAGGTTTCTCCAATCATTGCTTTGGCGAACCGCTTGTCCTCTTGGTCGAAATTATTGCGTAGCGTAATTTACGTTTGTCGATTCGCGAAGCTTTTACCGCGACGTTCGTATGTCTTAGCGTCCGATTACAACTATGCCGAGTCGCTAGTATTACGTGAACTTCAACGCGCACACTTCTCTGAAGAAATTACAAGATTACAATCGAATAGAGCTTGTAGTCGCGCCTTTCAACGCCTTAAGCCATTTTTACAGGATGGGATTGTAAGGGTAGGTGGACGCTTGTCCAACTCGCAGTTGAGTTTCGACCAACGGCACCCTATAGTTTTACCGCGCAAAGACCATATCATGAATTTATTAGTCGATTACCATCATAAATTGAATTCGCACGCTGGCCCCGACTTGCTGATGTCGATCTTGCGTCAGAATTATTGGATTCTTTCTGCACGTAGTTTAATACGCAATCGGGTGCACAGATGTATAGCTTGCTTTCGGGCACGCCACAAGCCGTCATTTCCGGAAATGGCGGAACTTAGATCTTGTAGAGTAATACAATCAGTAAAGCCCTTTACGCACACCGGGTCTGATTTCGCTGGTCCGTTTAAGGTCACGCTCACTCGCGGGCGTGGTATAAGATCCACAAAGGCTTACGTCTGCATTTTCGTATGTCTAACTACTCGAGCGGTGCATATAGAACTCGTTGGTGATCTAAGCACAGCAGGCTTTATGGGTGCATTTAAAAGATTTCTATCCCGCCGTGGCCCTGTAAGTAAATTATATTCGGATAACGGTACGAACTACGTCGGTGCAAAACGTACTTTATCAGAACTACATGAGCTCTTAGCTAGCAAGTATTATAATTCGGAGTTCGCTCACATTCTAGCCGAGAACCGCATTGAGTGGTCTCTGAACGTCCCAGCCACGAGTCATTTTGGGGGCAATTGGGAAACTAATATTAAGAGTCTAAAGAGTCACTTATACCGAGTAATAGGAGATCAAATTTTGTCCTTCGAAGAGCTAAGTACGGTGCTCGCTCAAATCGAATGCGTAATGAATAGCCGCCCACTTTGTCGTACGTTGTCTAGCGACCCCTCGGAACCGCTGGCTCTAACTCTAGCACATTTTTTGAATTTAACGCTTTTAAAGTATTTGCCCGCCGTAGATATGGATGAGAACAGACTTAGCATTTCCGCACGCCAAAATTATTAGACCGGTTAGTGCAATCGTTTTGGAAACGATGGAGGATGGAATACTTGCATACTTTGCAGTCTCGGCAAAAATGGAACACAGCGACTGAGCCTTTAGCTGTAGGAACTGTAGTTGTGCTCAGCAAAGAGAATGCGCCGCCTCTCCACTGGCCGTTAGGAATTGTCGAAGAGGTCTTTCCCGGTTCCGACGGAGTAATTAGGGTAGCTCGCGTTAAGACCACGGTTGGGTCTTACCTGCGTCCTGTTGTCCGTTTGTGCCCCCTGCCTCTTCCATAATTTAAATTAGCTTTCTAGATTAGAAATTGTAGTTGAATTTAGGTAATCTTAGCGTTAGTTAGTTATTTTGTTAGTTGATCTTAGCTCAAGTTGTTTTAGTTATTTTTTGAAGGAAATCCTTCAAGGGCGGGGGAGATGGTTGCGCGGAAAACCATTCGTATTTATTTATTTTGACGGTAGGCTGCCAAATCGCTTATCCCTTTCCAAAACGATATCATTCCTACCCTCCTATCGACACATCGGGGTGGTGGGATGGGAGGGGAAAGAAGATGATTCTAGAATATCACGTAATCATCGCAATCGAAGCAATAAAAGGCACGCGCGACCGACGCGCGCTCTCTTCCCGCCGCGCTCGTCGTTGAAACCACACCGCTTCTCTCCCGACGTATCTCTGGGGCCCCAGAGTGTCTGTCCAGAAGAAGTTCCAGAAGTCGCAGCTATAGTGCCCAACAGCATAGAAGAGACACCCCGGTGAGTCAATATTCCTAATAATATTGCCTGCTTGATATAATTGTGTTTTAACCCGCTCCAATTTTGTTTTCTCCTAATCAAGCAGGATTCCTTTCATCGATTTGGCAAATAATAGTTCGTTTTTAGGGAAGAGCGAGTGCATTGTACCGCATGCTATAGTCGCCGTTTATATAAGTGTAGAAACATTTTGTATATACAGTCCACTTAGATTAATAGCTCGCGTAGTAGGTTTTAAGGTTCGACCGGGGAATTAGACTTCGGCAACCTTAGGCTCGACGCTCCACCAATATATATATATATATATAATATATATATATATATATATATATATATATATATATATATATATATATATATATATATATATATATAATAGCTCTGAACTATCGCACGGAGCGGGAAATCTCCCCTTTTATTTCTTGGCCACAAAGGTTTTATAAACGTAGACACGGTTGTTTCTTGCTTGCATTGATGTTTTCAGCGTTGTCTATTTTTTGCCGACACATTTTATTACTTGACGGCGGTCACTGATTCTTATTGTCGGGAACATTCTCGCGCAATGTGATGCAATACGCAGTCGGCTGTCGTAATAATAGCACTGCTATACCACTGTTAGCACTCGCTGCCCGCAGTGATATAAAATGGTGAAACAGGACGCCGCCTGTTGCGTTTACTCTCCCATTTACGGGCCTTATTGTAGTAGGCAACGTACTACTGTCTTGTTGATGTATATACTATGAAAAAAAATTGGGATCTTTTTTAACTTCCAATGCGTGCTTGAGATTTAATATTTGTTCCAATACAATTGCTTTCCAGAAAAGAGTCAATTTTAACTTATGTTAAATCTTAATTATGTTAACTTAACCCTTTCCCTCCTTACGGTACTTAGAAGTACCTCCACATGTTTCGTCTAATAACTTAAGTACGAAATCACTTTATGCTAACTACAACTGACGATTCTTTAGAGTACCGTTTCCGTAGGCCAATCACAGCGCGTTATTTGAATTACCGCGTGACGTTTCCGAAAAATTTTAACAGCGAGTTACAACCGGTCGGACATTTTATAACTCTCCTGTGCGGTGTAATTGAAAAAGTTTTATAAATAGAATATCATAGGTAAGTGCTATTTTTTTTTACTAATTACGTTGTTTATATCACGGACTACATTTGTAAAAGCTGTTATAACTTATTATCACTTTATTTTATATGAATATTTGATAAAAACTGATGTGGACTTAAAAGTACCGTCAGGCGATTTTAGTCTAAAAATTATAAGCTTTTATAATACACATACTCGATCAAGTGGGTATTTTGCTTTATCATAAATAAATGTTTTTTTATTTTATAATTGTTCTGAGCTATTTTTTTATTGTTTTAGCCATTGAGATGGATATTTCAAAAAATACTGCTCTAATTGAAGCCCTGTTATTAGAAGAGATTCCGAACTGTGACGAAGAGTCTGAAGCAGGTGTGTCCGATGATGAAGTGGAAAATATTCAACAACCTTCACCAAGAGGCTTCGATGAGGTTTTTGGAAGAGCTCTAGAAAATATTTTAGCAGAAGATCCGCCATCGTCGTCTTCAAAAGAAGATGAATTGGAGTGCCCTATAAATCAAGTTCCAACATCTCCAATACCTGGATCTAGTGTTCAGATTGATCTACCGTCTGCAAATACGTCTTCACACAAAAGTAATCAGCGATTACCCGAACCAAACCGTAAATGGAAAAAGAGGGACCTAGATACAATTTTACAGGAATACGTTCTAGATACTGGAGTAGTAGAAGACTGTTTTGCTCACTGTAGTACCCCAACTGATATATTTTTAGTATTAATTGGAGATATTGTTGATAATATTGTGTACCAAAGTAACCTTTATGCTACTCAGAGAGGCAAAGTATTGAACCTAAAAAAAGGAAGAACTTCTAACATTTATAGGTATGAATTTTTTTGGGTTACTATGATAGTTTATCTCATCTGCATTGCAATGATAACTCACAAATGCCTAAAGATTGCAAAGATAAGTTATATAAAATTAGACCGATGATTGATGCACTCAATAAAAAATTTCAAGAGGTTTATCATGGTACTCGCGAACTGAGTGTAGATGAATCTATGATCAAATTTAAAGGTAGGTCTGTCTTGAAACAATATCTACCTATGAAGCCCATAAAAAGGGGATATAAGTTGTGGTGTCTTGCTGACCAGAGAGGCTATATAAAGAAGTTTCAAATTTACCAAGGAAAAGACGAAGAACTGAACTCAAAATTTACCGGCTATGGCTTAGTAGAGAAAGTTGTTTTGAAGTTGACTGAACAAGATTGGGGTACAGGAAAGATAGTTTACTTTGATAATTTTTTCTCGTCTGTTGCTTTGCTTGAGAAACTGAAAACACCTACGCATCCGAAGTAATAGAAAAGGACTGCCCGGAAACATGCTCGCTGATTCTCAAATGAAAAGGGGCGACAGTGATCATCGATTTTCAAATTTAGACATTGGATATTGGAAATGGAAGGATAACAAAGTGGTTCATTTAGTATCTAATTTTCATGGGAATGAAACGGCTACTGTGTCACGTAAAGAAAAAATTGGGTCCAAGTCTACCATTACATGCCCTGTAGCTGTCAAAGGTTACAATAGCTATATGGGCGGCGTAGATACAGCTGATCGTTTGAGAGCCCTTTACTGTATAGATCGCAAATCTCCGAAATGGTGGCACAGGTTGTTTTGGGGTCTTCTGGACATCGCATTTGTCAATTCATATGTCATTCATGGACTTATAATGGAACAGACTACCGTAAAAGATTTTCGACGTTCTGTTACTCAAGGCTTGATGACAATGAAAGATGTTAGTCAGAAAAGAAAGACTTCTACAACTAATACTTCGGAAGGTGGCCCTTCCAAAAGACGCAAATCTGACTACTCCACTATAAAAGACGTTCGCTTGGGTAATAGAGACATCCATTGGCCTTCGTTTGTAGAAAATAGGGAAAGGTGTGAGGTTTGTAGTATGAAAAAGATTCAGTCAAAACCTCATAGTAAATGTTCCCATTGCAACGCGTTTGTGTGTGTAAATGAAAAGAAAAATTGTTTTGCTGAATACCACGAGGTTAATTTGTAATTAAAAACCTATCTTTTTAATTAATACTAAGTCAATATTGGGTCTCATTATTTTTGTAGTTTCTGTCAAAGTTCCTAACATTGTAATGACACAAAGTTCCTGACGGTACTTTTAAGTCTAGGTCTTAGAAATAGTACTTCTAGGTACAATAAAAATCTGAAAATAATCTAAGCGTTTCCTTTTACCTACCTTATTATGATAATGAAGTTAAAAAGCGGAAATTCGTTAAAAATCACTACCCTGGGTGGAAAGGGTTAAGTAAAAATAGCAATGTCCAGGTGTCAAATGGTTACATTAAAACATGCATGGCGGGCAGCGAGTATTTAACATAAGTATAGTATTTATAAAAAATAATTGGCGGCGGTGAGCGGTGAGCAGTGACTTGTACAGACTGACAGTGGCAGTGACAGATTGACCGTGGTTGTACTGACCCGCGTAGCAGTAGTGGTGCGCGGCGAGCGTGGCGTAGCCGTCCGCGGCGCCGAACTCGGTGGCGGAGGAGGGCGCGAGGCGCGCGCGCACGCAGCGCAGGTAGTGTGCGCGCAGCTGCCGCGCCAGCGCCGCGCACTCCCCGCGCGCGCGCCGCCGCCAGCCGCCACGCGCCCACACACGACACGTGCCGCTGCACGTCCGCCGCCTGCCGTCAATCGTCTCTCACTCACCACATGTCGCTACTTGGCTCGCTTACATAACTCAACTAATTATTTTATAAAATAGTAGCCAAATACGTTTCAATATTAGTTTTTCATGTCAAATTGTAGTGGCGGGTAAGTATATATATCCCCATATCTTCCCGTGGGTGTCGTAAGAGGCGGCAGAGGGAGACAGGCAGGAGATGGGCAGCAGCATCTTCCTGATAACAGCAATAATACAATAAAAAACTATGGTTGGCAAAAGTTGCCAAGAGTTGCGGAAAACAGCCTGTTGTAAAGTAAACTAAGATAATATAGAGTTATAAAGAATATTGCATTGGATAGAATCTTATTATGATAGATATAAATAAATAAAAAATGTATGCTAACTTGCCTTCCGATCTCTATTATCTATTCAAAGTTTGAAGTTCCAAAGTTAAATTTAAACTTGCATTTTATTTATACAATATTGGTGTTCAAAATTTTACATAGTAAGTGCATGATTTTTGATAACTGCATATTATCATTATCATCATACAAACCACTTCCAAGTTGACACAAACATAGTCCTGAGCCACCAGGTCACCAAGTCTTCACTTCATTTGTGAGGGTCACACTGCTTGTCGGACTGTATATTAAATATAGCAAATACAGACACAATCTTCAAATGGATGATAGCAGAGAACATTCATGCAAACAATGTTTTTGTCCAATTTTTTTCTTTATTGTGTTTGAGGATGTAAGGAAGTAAATTAATAAAACATGTATAGAAGGGGTGTTCTTATGCAAAATTTAAAAAGTAAAATAATAATATGAATTACTCTAAATTACAAGACAAGTGTTGTATACAATATGTACTTACATTATCAGGCTCACTATTTTCTTGAAAACCTAGACAAAAGAGGAAATCTTTAGCGTACTCTTCTCTCTCTTTTTGAGGTATCATGGACAAATAGGGTCTAACATCAGGCACAGAACATGACTTATGAGCGAAAAATTTTAGGTACTGTATACATAGCGCCATTGCACCTCCATACAGGTCTTTTGGTTCTTTAGATAATCGTTTCAATTCTAGTCTAGCTAAATAAGGGCCCCTTATAGTTTGCTCAGATGATATACTCTCAATTAATTCACAAATAAATTCATGGCACTTCTCTTCAGAATCATCCACTGAGCTGTTACAACTCTCGTCGGGATCTGCTCCCTTCATCAACTCAAAGGCAGATTCAAAATATGGCGTGTAGTAGTCCCATCTGTCTTGATTGTCCCACAGTAACTCTTTGCACAATAAATTCAATTTTCTCCAACGCCCAAGTTTTTTTAAATAGGGCATGCTTGCTTGTGCAGTCGAGCCTGGCACAAGTTGTGAGTACAATGGTCCCTCAATGAACTTCAGAATGTCCTCCCATTTCTCTTGTAATTCAAGAATCATGATATACAGCCTTGCTTCTTGCTCTGCCTCCATTTTGTTCTCTGCAATGAAATTGTCCACCATTCTTTGTGCTAAAGTGAGAAGGATGCCTTTCTTAGTCACATCTTCTGTTGATTTCGCCTGGGAAAGATATGTGATTTTTAATAATAATATTAGCAATGTGAGCAATATGAGTCTAAATTTAATAAATAATAATTAACTGCTAGGGATCAGATCCAGATTGTAGCAGAGCATAAGCAATGCATGTTGCTTGAACCCTGATTTGTTAGCTTTTTTTAATAGTATAGGGTGACAAACGAGCACACAGTTCAGCTGATGGTAAGTGGTTGCTGTGGATAAGCTGATGGTAAGAGAATGCCTGTGAAGATTAAGATGAAATACCTTGTTTCCAGTAAAAGGGTCTCCGGTTGTCTATACTCACCATATGAAACACAGTATAGCATTAAGCTACTATTTTACGCTGGTATTCTGTGTGGGTTATTTTTTAAATTTCTTAAAGTACAAGTGTCACCCGCACTGATGTAAAGTGTTTGTTACAGTTTTCCAATAGAATATTGAATTTCAATAGCATGCTGTATGGTGTACACTAAACTTTTAATAAAATAATTTATTGTTTGTCACCACTACAGGTTGTACAATGTGCATACACAATATACCCTACCAAAAGTTGCAGCTGAGGGTCATCAGCATCAACCTGAATGCAGCCGAAAAAGAAACAGAATGCCAGCTTGGCAAGCCCACAATTTCGTCTATAAAGAAAGGCTTGTTCAGCAGTGGACCTTTCAACTGAACCACCTCGTTGTTCAGTTTCTTTCTGTCACCTCTTACCTAGCACATCCACAGGATGATATGGGGTAGTGGATATTAATACATGGATGTACAAGTTGTCCAAAATAAATGATTTATTATTATTATTGTTAATACAATGCCAAAATATGGTAATGAATATGCATCATGTAAAAATTATGCTATCAAAAACATAACTTGTAAAAAAAAACCAAGTCTCGCAACTCAGTTCTTCTACCGTAAAAAGTTGTGAGATCCATGTAATACCAGTCGGTTAATTTATTCAGTGCCTACTTAAGGGTCCTTCTGTTTTAAGTTATTACGTAATTAGCTAACCTAACAACATTTTATATATATAGATTGACTTGGCCATCGCATGAAAACACAATGTATCTTACAAGTATACATATTTTATATAGAATTAGATTGCCTAGTGCGATTGCCAAGTCAATCTATATATTTAAAACATAAAACATTTCTAACATTGATATGGCCACTATAAAATGTTGTCATCTACACATATTATCACACATTATCTACACCTGTTATACAGATACAAGTACACTGATTCATTCACTGCAAATGTAACTTTGTAATTCTATATATTTGTATGGGATTACAAAGTTATTTATGCAGTTAGCATATTTAGAAAACTGAACCGAAATTAACAAATATTTTAGTTTTTTCTTGATTTACACACTATGCACTAATTGTATTCTAAATATGAAGCTTCTATGTCTGCTAGAAGTGCCTTAGAGTTTTGATGATCGGTCAGTCAATGAGTGACAAAATTAAGAAATTTTGACTAGTTATAATTCTTAAACTACTGGTTGAAATTGAATGAAATTTGAAATATACCATGTTTATAGAATGTTTACTCGATTACTGAAAATTCAGACTTCTAGTTTTATTGACTATGAAGTTAAAGGGGGTTGAAAATGGCCTGAACTGCTTCGAGAAAAGTATAGTACAGCCGTGCCGCTTTTTATTATTAGCAAATTTATATTAAAAAATCACAATTATTTCCTTTGCAACACAAGTTACCTTATTATTAAACGCTGTTGGGCCTTATAGGCACTTATAGGTAGCACTTCCAACTTTGCCTTTACATTAATCTGGATCTACTGCGTAAAATATTGAGTGATGTACCATAAAATTTATAGGATTGCTGATACATGGAGTCACTGACTCAAGTAACAACTTATAAAAGGAGTATTAAATATATCATACCTGTAGTACAATGCTCATGACAGCCCAAAAGTAGTATGGGTTCTTGGGTGCGAGTTTGTAGAGCGCCATGGCGGCATGCTGCTGGGCTCGGTAGTCAGACACACGCACATACGACATGAACAGGTGTGAGTGAAGCTCTTCGCTGTTAGGCTCTGACTTCACTGCCGCCTCATATAGTGCACATACCTTAATTACTGTAATGGATTGAATGGTATCTAAGATCTATTGTTTGCTAATTAGAGTAGTATTAAAGTGTTAACAATGTGTGTTATTGTCTTAACTAAGTTTATGTTGTCTTAAAATTAAACTTATTCATATTTTACACTTCTAAGCTCTGTATCACCCTGCAAAAGTCTACAGCTGGACACGGGTCTCTCCTAATGTAGAAAGGGTTTGCCCTACTTCTCATGCAACAAGTAGATTGACCATCACTGTACCAGACATCTCGGCACTTTTGATGCTGTTTCCTGTCACCAGTCTTAATATTCTATACCAGGCATAAACAAGATGGACTATTGGAAACCAAAAAATTTTCAGAAAATAGCTAACTAATATCTATACTAGTAATAAAATTATTCAAAACAAATTTATCTTGTAAAAATAAAATGTAATAATTTTAACCACAGATGAAACAAAAATAACAATGACATGTCTACCACTCAAGGATTTTCTCCTGTATTGTGATTGGTTGCTGGAGGTAGTTTACATTATATACATAAAATGCAAAATTACTTGATCTGTGGGGAATTCTAATATGCAGCTCTCAGTGCTACAACTCGAAGCTAAGCTACAGTCATCATTAATCTATTGTGTAGTTTTTGAAAATGTGATTATGATATAAAACTGTAAAATGTGACTAGATATGTTCGGAATAGCACTAAAAAATAATAAGGATAAATTGAGAAGATTAAGAGTTGTTT